GTGTGTGTGTGTGTGTGTGTGCGTGTGTGTGTGTGTGTCATTTGTGTGGAGAGAAGAAATATTGGTTTGACAGTTATTATAAGTATTGTTATAATTGTTGCCGTTGTCACCATACTTTATTGTTGTCCCACAGCTTCATTGAGCCTTTTCAGTGGATTTGTTTGCTTCTCTCAATTTTCAATACAAATTCATCCATTACCTTTGTTACAATTGATTAAAATGCTACCTCACAATTCTTGTCTATTTGTTGAATTCGGAAATTTCCATATTCTCCCAGTGTTAAACAAATATGATATCAACAGTAGTTATTTGCTACATATTACATTTAAGTGTCTCTCAATAATTTCTATATATTTTCCTCTCTTACGTAAAATATGAATTGTTATTTTTTTTTTTTAAAAAAAAAGTATTGATTATAGTAGTAATAAAGTTATTGAAAAAAAATTTTTATCACCATTAAATAGGCGAATAGTTCAAAGGTTATATTTTTAGCGAGAGAAAAATAGGTTTGTTTTATTCGACAATATTTTCATGGATCGATTACTTGTAGAATATAATAAAAATTGTGCTACATATTCTTTCAAGCATTAAATTTTGCTTTCATTTCATTCCTTAAAAATTTGAAATGATGAATAAAAAGTTTAATTTTGTATGTTTTTATTGAATATTAATATTTCTAAAGCTAATAGTAGTATGTTACAATTTTTTTTTTTTAAAAAAAAAAAAGAATTCTTAGTTTGATGGGAAATTTTTTATTAAATATCTTAATGCTTGCTTTATTTTTTTTTTTTGCTAGAAATTTGATTTGAAATTTAATACTGAAACATTTCAAATTGCAGTACAGGAAAATAGCAAAAATTTCCTTTTTGTCCTGAAAAGGATTCAGATTTCTAAGTTTCCCTGGATAAAAGTTGTCCGTATATTACGTGGAGAAATGAAACTGTTTAGAATTGATAATTCATCGAACTCCAAATATTTTCAAAAATGTGAACTATTTCATATGTATCATCAAAGTCAACTATTTTAAATGAATTGAGTTTTTTTTTTTTCGATATGAATAATTTCATTAATATATTTTTATAAAAAATTATTTCAATTTAATTTCAGAAACTTTTGGACAAATTTCAACAAAATCAACAGCAATCACTATCTAATCCTTCTATTGGTGGAATTCATACGGATTATGAATATGAATCACAAGGAATCGAAGAGAGTTCATCCTCATTAAGTAGTAATTTACGGAATGATCTGACCCAATTACCAATTAAACATGCTCTAACAACAATAGAACAACGTTGTAATACGGATAATTTTGATGATAGCAATTCTAGTATAAATCAAATTACCGGTGATGCTACTACTAAATTAATTATGCAAAGGTATGTTATTTTTTGTGATAGAAATTGTTTGAGAAACCTTTTCAATTTATTGATTTCATTTCCGATATTCTTTTATCTTGGAATGATTTTTGAATTAATTTTAGAATGATTATGAAATGTAAAGTGATAATTTGATTAGCAAAATTTCATTCCATCCTTATCAGTGAAAATGTATTTTAGGTATAAAATCAAATCATCGCACTATCCATCGCCCGGTATAAATAAACGGCATTGCTCAACCGGACTATCTATCGAGCATAATATGCAGCCGGGAACGTCCATTGATTCCGGTTCAGGTATCAGTGAGGGAGCAATAGCAGCAGCTAATGGTAAGAGATTAATAATGTGAAATTACTGTAAGTGTTTTCTGGTCAGGATAGAAATGTAACAGCAAGAGTGAAATTTCAAAAATGTTTTGAAAAATTTTTGCAACCTCATTTATTTTTTTTTTTTTGAACTACTAAAATCTTACGCATCATTTAGTATGAAATTTCTCCACAATTTTTATTAAATTTTGAAATTCTCTGATAGCTAAACATCTTATTATATTTTAAAAAAAATTTATGAAACATTTAATTCGTATTTCATTTTCTACAATCAATATTTTCAATTTGCATCTGTAAGACAAAAATAACACATTCATTGAAATTGCTTGCAAAAACTTTGATTGAATTTCTCGCCTTAATCTTTTACCGTTTTAATGTTTCACTGAAAATTCTCAATATATTAAAATATATCGTAAATTTCAATTTATCCTGCAGTAAAAATATCGCATTTTTAAAAATGACAAAATATTTAAAAGAAAAAAAAAGCAATAAAATACTAAAACAAAAATCGAATTAAAATTTAAAAAAAAATTGAAACAAAGTGCACATATGATTGCTTAATTATTCCTATTGATGGAAGAAGTTTGGTAAGTAATCCGCTCTTCATCACCTCTCATCCCTCTTCAGTTAGTTTCATCTGCAAAAAAAGAAAGGAAGAGAGCGAGAGAGAGAGAGAGAGAGAGAGAGAGCGAAGAAAATCAATCAGGCAATAAAATTTGGAAAATTTGAAAACGAAATGAAGCGTAAAATTAAATGGTAAGAAGCTTTATGTGGAATGTTCAAACATCGAAGAGAATCATTGAATTCATCGAATAATTACTGCTAAGCCTTATTGGAAGAAGTTTAGTAAGTAATCCGTCCTTCATCATCTCTCATCCCTGTTCGATGAATGCACGAAATTAACCATTTCAACTGATGAGGAAAAAATTCGATCAAATGATCCAAGTGAGTAAATGTAAACAATGTGATTGACAACAACTACAATTTATCATTTATCATAAATTCAAATATGACTATGATCCAATCATCAATAATGATTAGGAATTGACAATGAACTCGCAATATTTGCGAAAAATATACGTATTTTTTTTTTAAACAAAGATATTTTTTAAAAAAAAAATGAAATGAAAAATCGAATTGAATTAGAAATTTGTGTATGTATGTGTGTATGTGTGTGTGTGTATGTGTGTGTGTGT